TTTCCGATTTGCCACGCCCCTAGTGGGCGGATCGGGAAAATTTTAACACTTTATAAATCGGAGATAYACACGAGTATGTGTTCAAAATTTCAAGTCTCTAGCTTCAATAGCGCCGAAATAGATTGCGTTCACACGGACAGACGGACGGACAGCAAGACGGACATTGAACAGAACTAATGTACTCATTTCACTTTCGTGAATGAGTATAAAAAGCTCGGCGTACGGATCTTAATACTTTTACAGACAGCTTGACAGACAGTATACATACAACCTTCTCCTTTTACTTTCGTGAATGGATATACAATGTTTTTAAATATTTTACAGACCATACAATATATACAATACAATACAATATATAAATTACTCACCGACGGTTTTAATAATCTGAAAATGATCAAAATTATATTTACGTCCACTCTCCGTTTGATTGCTGCTACTCTCTTCAGATTTATTGTCTGTTTCGTCTTCATCAGTGTCATTTCCGTCATCTAGTTCGCTCTTTTCGGAATCGTTACATTTTATGTCAGCTGCATCATGACTCTCGTCCTTTTCTTCTTTATGAACGAGACTATGATTAACAGTTGTTGTGACGTTGTTGTTACTAGGACTTCTGACACCGACATGCGGGTTTTGAAATTTTTGTGAATTCTGTTCATCACTTTTCTCACTATAGTCAGATTCTAGAATATCCGAAGACTCACTAGAGGTCACACTGAGGTTACTGCTCAAATCGCCGCCGGCTGTTCGGCCCAATTTAAATGTAAATGTTGCTGTGTTATCTGATGAAGTACTTGTTGTTGGAATTTCTTTTTTGTTCTGCAGAGCTGCCCATTGTTTCACGCATGTTTCAGCTCCTTCTATTAGCTTGGACGAGGAACCGTTTTTAGATGATGGTAAATTTTTGCTCATACCTGTGAGTGAACTGCAAAATCGCGCACAGGTTGATATTGACATAAAGACAATCCTTTCCTTCAGAGCTAGATTCTATAAAGAAAAATTGTAAATAATGAAATGTGTATATATAAGTCAGCAGGTAGGATAACTCTAGTCGAGACCGCTGTTTTAGCAGATACCACCCTGAACTACTAACCAGAGAACACAATGACCGAACACGTAGTGTAAAGCGTTTTAGTAGTGTATGTATAAAATCTGCATAACGTTAGCTATGTTTATAAACAATTGTAGATTTTGTAGTAGCTAGAGATATTACATTTATATTTATTTATTTGTTTAAAAGATATTATCAAAACTAGAGTCAACTTAAATTAAAATAGCCTACAAAAAGTACCACCAACCCCACGGAGGTATTTTAGTTGCCAGTCCGGCTAGCTATGCCCCACTTCACAGCCAAATATGGTCAGTGATAGTATTGAGACTATGAAAAGAAAGTGTTAGAAAGAAAACTTAAAATAATTATCAGGAGAGCTTAAATATTCATATATTAATTCTTAAGATAAAAAAGTAAGAAAGCTCTAGTCGAGACTGCCCGACTACGAGATCCCCTGAACCCTTCGAGCAACTGATATTTCAATAATTATTCGCATATGCACACATACATGCACACACAAACATACGTACGCACGCATAAACTCGCATTGGCTGCAGTGTACATTACTATGGGAGATTAATTATTTAATAACTTTCTTGTGGATGGACTGTCTTTATGAAACTTTCAGATTTTGAATATAATATGGATATGCATGTAATTGCTAAAGCAAAAGTCTCTAGTATTCGAAATACGCCTTTTACAAATGTGATGGTGGTGAATTAGGGGTGTGGGTAAATTTTGACAAAAACCCAAATCTTACAAAATGCATACAGTCTGTTGAAGACTCTAGCTTTAAAGATGTACGAGATATAATTTTAAAACTGATTTTCAATGTTTTAAATCGATAACAAAATGACGGGGCAAGACCTAGGAAAAAAAATTTAAAAAATTCAAAAGCAAACTCGACGTCCGCGCTGTATATACGGTCATTTAAAAAAAAAACAACAAGTAAGTAA